ATATATATATATATATATATATATATATATATATATATATATATTGTATAAAAAGGGAGAATTACATAAAATGGTGTTTCGCCCAACCAATTACATAACTACATGATACATCCATGATGGGAGATGGCATGCGTGCATACATAGATGCTATCCCATCCAGGATCTTCCTCTCTTTCGTACACACCATCAACCACATGGAACAAACAGGGATCTTATCCCCTGCCCCCCGTCCTTTCTCTCACTCTATGTACCAGGTTCAAACCACAATCTCTATTTTATAAAAAAACTAAAATATTTTTGCATCTTTAAATTAATTAACCTATAATAAAAATAAAAATAAATTAATATTTATTAGTAACTTTTTTCTTTATCTTAGATTTGTTTTTATCTCTTAATTGTTGTTAATACCGTCCAAAACTTCTTATGTTAATAAGAACTCTGTTGTCAATAATGATATGATAATAACGTGACTTTATAGTGAGTCAGTGATAATAATGTGATAGTCCTTTGTTAAATCGACGACTTCTTATGATAAGATTTGGATGTGATAATGTTGGGATACATTGAAAACCAATAATGATCACACCCACAATCCTCGGTTCTACGTGTTGATTATGTGATTTACAGTTTTGTTCCTCATTTCTCTCCTGCATGTTTTCAATATTTCTAAAAGAGAGTAAATGTATTGAATATTTTACTGTTCTCTCACTTCTTCTAAACTTGTGACTTAAAATCGACTGTTAAACTTACAAGGGTTCTCATATTTTCATAAATTACATATACTTTCGTTTGAACTATTTTCAATATGTATTTCCCTTTTTCAATATCTCCGATTGAAGCTAATCAAACCAAAACAAATACAAATAGAGCAACACAAAGGAACAATATACCAAGACCAATTTTTTTTTATATGTTTTTATAAAATTAATTAAATTTTATGTGGATGAGGGGGACAGAAAGCACAATGGACAGTCATCAAAACAACAGCTTAATGAAAAGCCCACTAAAAAATGTTTTTATAAAGTTAATTAAATTTGATATTTCTCGTGATGCATCAACAAGTCAATAATAAGATACAAAAAGCCCACTAAAAAAATGTACCGTTTTTATTAGCCATTATTTATTTTTCATTATTTAAATGAAATAAAGAGATTATAAAAGTTTAGGTTTGGGATAGGCTTATAAAAAGGTTTAGTTTAAGTTGTTTAGTTTTATGTACGAAAGATGTCTCCATAAAACAACACAAAGGTTTTGATGATGATTTGGTCAATTTATGAGTGCAATCATTGAAGCTACGCTTGTGGGTCTTGCACTAAATTTGAACCTCATTGGCCATTGTTTTTTGATCTATTTTAAATAAAAAGAGAATCTTTAAACTCTTAATAATTGTGATATATAGATATTAATAATTAATATTATATAATTACTAGAAGGTTATTCGTGTAATGCAACGAGATACATCTTGTTTTTAGTATTTCATTTTATTCTTTATCTCAGTCGATGTTATAGTATGGTTTTATATGATTTTGAAAAAGCGATAATGTTTTTATTTTTGAATAAAATATAAATTTAAAAATATCATAAAAATTGGACAAAAATATATCGATATTAGTATCAAATTAACTATTTAAAATTCTTATTTTTTGCGTGATTTTTTAATTCAAACTTTTTTATTATAATTTAATTTAGGTTCATGAATTAATTTATATTTGGTTTAATAATATAWTTTTCTTATAAAGATAATAATTAATTATTTTGTTAGAACTCGATAATTGTCCTAATTATATTTTAGATTTTTTATATTTTAAAATRAGATGTCTATCCTTTATTTGATCATGTTTATCCGCAGTTAGTTAAATGAATTTAAATATGGAGCTTTAATAAGTTGTACTTATGCATAAATTACTTGTAATCTTGAATTTTAAGTAATATGCATCAATATACAGTATTTCATGCATAAAAAATAGTTTTTAAGAGTTTTTGTCAAATGCTTTATAATATAGTATTTCAAAATGAGATGTTTATCCTTTATTTGATTATGTTTATCCGCAGTTAGTTAAATGAATTTAAATATGGAGCTTTAATAAGTTGTACTTATGCATAATTTATTTGTAATCTTGAATTTTAAGTAATATGCATCAATATACAGTACTTAATGCATGAAAAATAGTTTTTAAATTTTTTTTGTCAAATGTTTTATAATATAGTATAAATGAGTTGAGCCGTAAGGATTAAGTGACTTATGTACATAAAACATACACATACATATACGCATATGTATGTATAGGGGCCTATTCAAGGGAGAACTGAGTTGTTTGTGGTAATTGGGAGAACCAATATTAACCACAAATCAATAGATAAATTAGGAAATTTATAAATTTGGTAATTTTAAATTAAAATCTTAATGCAAGGATATTTTTGGTATTTTAAAACTCTCCTCTCTCCTCTCTTCTCTCTCCGGCCACCGGCCTCCGGGCACCGTCCTCCGGTGATACCACTGTGATACCTAAAAATATTGACTCTGTTAAACAAAAGATACATTGTGATACCTAATCATATATAAGATGCACAATGATACCACTGTGTTACATCTTCGATCGACCACACAAACGACATCAATGTGATACCCAAGCACATATATAATGCATTGTGATACCATTGTAGTATCACCGGAGGACGGTGGCCGGAGAGAGAAGAGAGGAGGGAGGAAAGTTTTAAAATACCAAAAATATCCTTGCATTAATATTTTAATTCAAAATTACCAAAATTATAAATTTTCTAAGTTATCTATTGATTTGTGGTTAATATTGGTTCTCACAGTTACCACAAACTAATTAGTTCTCATTTGATTAGGACCCTGTATGTGTATATATATATATAGAGAGAGAGTATATATATATATATAGAGAGAGAGAGAGAGAGAGAGAGATGCAACTATCAGGTGTTTGCCTTGTTCCTTCATCTTCACATGGGAGGAGGACTTCTATAACAGGTTAGACAAAAGCTTCACATCCAACTCACAAACCACTCAACACATTCAGGAAAGAAAAAGTCAACCTTTTTATTTTTCAGATTCATGAAAACTTTCTGTATCTGCACAGTTTCGAATTTTAATTACTATTTTTTATGTAATCTGTTAAACTTGTTGTTAATCTTGAAGTTAAATATAAATCCAGTCTTATAGGATTTGAAGCATCTTGTTGTTTTCCCATGTTTTAGAAGCTCCAATAATCACATTCATGGTGTGAAATTTTCTCCTTCTTCATCTGTTGATATATGTCTGGTAATTTGCTACCAAATCTTTTTGGGGTGTGTGTGTGTGTTCATATTGATTATTGTGTAATAAAACACACATACATACATATAGATAGATAGATAGATAGATAGATATGAATGATCAACTGCTAATTAGTCAAGTTTTGTATCTACTGATATTAATTAGGGTTGGTGCACTTTTCTAGCTTCTTGTAGCTAAGTAATCGAAGAAGACGACATTAATATCATCTGTATATATATGGAGAAATTAATGGTTGAACCATATGACATGGAATGCATGAAGATGGCATTGTTAAAGCATGAAGAAACATTCAAACAGCAGGTAACAGATTATTATATATCTGGAAGCTTGAATTAATCCAACTCTTGGGTGTCTTTTATTAATGTCTTGCATGTGTTTTTTGAAGGTATTCGAACTTCATAGACTATATGAAATCCAGAGGATGTTGATGAAGAAGATGCAACGAAGCATGCAGAATATAATTAATGAAGAAACTAAAACTAATGCTAGATGGAATTTGCAAAATGGAAGCGTATTTCATCAAAAGCAGCTGAATAATGATCTTCATAAACAAGATCATGGGGATGATGATGATGATGATGATGATGATGATGATGATGATGATGATGATGATGATGATGATGATGATGATGATGAGATGGAAGAAGAGAGTGAAATTGAGCTCACACTGGGACCCACCACGAGGTACAACCGGAAGAGGAAGAAGAAGAAGAAGAAGAAGTCATTATATTCGGAATCATCATCAAGTTTAGGGATTTTTGCATCATCTTCTTCGTCAACAGATCATGAAACCAGACTAATTACCCTACACAATAATTCAGGACGACTACTTGAATCGAGATCAACGGCATGTATTTAACTTTATTTTTATTAATTTAATTTGTGTCTGTATGTCTTATAACTTAATTAATTAATGCGATTAGTTTTAGCGTGGGAGCTTATCCAACATACTCCTCACAAAAGAGAAAGATCGMCGGCAGAAGCGGATAGAAGCACTACTAAAAAATTGGGGTTTTCCGATGAATTTGCTTGCCGGAAAAACCCCACGCAAAAATCTCCGACGGATTCCGGCCGCTGGAAGTCCGCTACCATTTTTTTTTCCGATCTTCTTAACTTAATTATGTAAACTAAAAATTAAGATTAAATTATCGAATGCGTGGATAATTTAATCGACTAATGTAGATCGATAGAAACATCAAGATCCTGCAAAGCTGACCAGTATGTCCCAAGTCCACATAGTGAGGTTATCTCAAAGAAGCTGCATTATGAGGATGTTGTCCAAAGGTATCCAATTTCACATTAGGGTCCGATACTATCACTAGACCAGTGGTACTCTGTCTTAATATTTGTCGATATCTTATTTATATGATCGTAATCAGTTGATGAGATTTTCCGTTGGATGTCTAACAAATCTCATTGTCCGTCGAAAAATTCATCTAACTTTAATTTTTTTAAACAATTTAAAAATTATTAAAGAAGTTATAAAGAAAAACCTTTTTGACGGAGCTTGAGAAACTTTTATATAATCTCTTTTAATTTTCTTTTCCAGAAAAATTTTTAAAGAGAAAAAAAAAACATTTTCTAACAATGCCGGTAAGATATCTGACGGATTTTCATCGTAAAACTATAGACTCGTGAAAAGTATCACTTTATCAATTCGTTGTGTACCGTCGTATACATTTTGACCATATTACTTTGTTATGTGTCATCGTATATATTTTAAAACTACAATAAAGACATAAGTTTTTCTTTATAGAGTTGATTTACAAGGCTTTTCTTCCACTTCACATATAAAAACAATGAACTAATGATTATTTTATATATAAAAAAAATCCTTATTTTTGTTTTTTATAATGAAATGGTGTTATTACTTTAAAAAAAAATCTACTTCTATTTGCAATAACCAGACCACCGTCATCACCACCCCCACCATCTTCACTGCCAGCACCAACAAAAAATGGTAAAAATCATATCTCCAATATTGCTAGAATTTCTCCTTTGGTTGTATATAAATTTTGAGGCTTTGACCGGAAAATGTTGATTTTACAGGGGATAATGTATGGAAGAGTCAGATTCATACGAGAATGATATCTATTTAAGAAAATAAGATAATTGCAAATCACATTACGTTAACATCATGTACAAAATCATACGTGATTCACGTGACCTTGCCATGCTACCTTGCTAAGTGGTCATAGGGTCGCCTGCACACTTTTTTGGGCATTAATGTAAAACCACATGTGATTTTGTACGTAATTTAACAATTCTCTTGATTTTTAAAAATAAAATATCATTCTCATATAAATCTACCTCATATGTAGAACTCTGTAAAATCATTGACTTGGAAAATGCTAGCAGGCCATTCAATTCAGTTATGATGTAAATTAATAGAAAATAGTTTTCTGAACAAAGTTTGTTTGTATTTTTTTGTTGGGAAAGTTGTTTTATCGAAGGGTTACTATTTTATCAGGTAAGTTAATGAAAGATGAAAATGATTACGAAATGAGTATTATTTAAATTTCAAGAAAAAGTCTATACATATAAAATAAAAAAGTAATTATGTATCGACTTATTCAGTTTTGGTAATTATTTTGGGTCACAAGTGATAAATTTGTGGATCTGCACTTTATTAATTTCATAACCTTATTCTTATTCGGGTTAGCGCTTATCAAGTCATGTAATCTTACTGGATGAATATGGTAAGGATCAAGAATCTTACCCTGTAAGAACGAGACAAGGACCAAGAGTCTTATCCGATAAGTGAGGGCGACGACTCTTACCATGGTAAACGCTTACTGGATAAATTATTGCATACGATGTTATTTTGGTGGACTAAGATCTTACCCGTTAAGTAAATAATAGTGTTAAATTTTACCAGTAAACATTTACCGGGTAAGTGTTTGGTAAAAGACCCCTAAGAGACCGTTTGCCAAATAAAAAAAATTATAGATCCACGATCTATGAATTGTGCTTCTCACAAAAATTGATGTATTATATCTCGATGCATTGCATTAATATTGATTTTCAAATAAAATCGATTCAAAGGTGAAGATACTTTTTTAACTCTCTTACAAATCCAACCCAACAATCATACATATGAAGTATTTAAATGGCTAATATTGACCATGACTTCAAAGTCTTCACTAGAATATGTACAACATAATAAATAACCATAAATACACTATAAAAGAATCATTTATATTTTTGTTTGTAATTTTACATTTAATATATTTATTTAAAAATTAATAGATTTGGGTTGTTAAAGTGACAATAAGGAAAAATTTTAAAAAATTAGGTGTTGTTTGACAGTTACTAAATAGTTTGGTGTGGAATGATTAAGTGATTGAAATGATTAAGAGACTCTTATAATATAGTGCAAAATGAAATATAATTGTTTGGTAATTGTTTACAATGAAATTAGGACGTTAAATGGTTAAGGGAGGTCCATGATACAAAATCATTCAGAAAGTTGTAGAACCATTAAAAAACATATTTTTTTTGCCAAACAAGATTCACACATCTTAACGATTCAAATGTTGCCTCTTAATGAAAATATTAAGAGGTAAATAAACAACCATTTAGCTAAAACAACAAGTCAAATAATCGAAAGTCATTGAAATGTAATCAACAGGGCCGTCCCTGGGGGAGGGCGGCACGGTTGCACGCCCAGGGCCCAAAAATAATAGGGGCCCAAATTTTTCCCTTACAAAATACAATAGTAGTCTAAAAAAATTTAATGAAATAAAGAAACCCACAAAATTGTAACATATAATAAGAAGCAAAAAAATATTAGTACATGATAAGGGCCCAAAAATATTTCAACTAATTTTATTGGAGTAGAAGATAAAAAAAATAATTTTTTTTATCTTCAACAAGGTACAATGATATTGATTATTGTTATCTCTATATGCTTGGTTGTTTTCATGCTTCAACAATTCAACAGTAAGATCATGTGCTTGTTATTGCTATATATTTTTGTTGGATATTTTTATCAATTTCTGCTTCTATTGACTATTGTTATTTGGTTATGTTGTTCTAATTGTTTTTGTTGAGTATTGTTATCTATTTTTATTTCTACACAAAATATTTTACTATTTTTGACAATCAATCTATTGTTATTATAATTTATGACGTGTTTCATAGTTTTGTGATTAATCAATAATTTTTTCTACTAGATATATTTAATAATGTCTCTTATATATGTCATGTTCAATAAATTTTTAATCTTAACATCTTATTTTAGTTGAGCAAAAAAAGAAGGAGAATAAAATTTAAATATTTTCATCAATTGTTTGACTTATATATCTTTCATTGGGATTCAACCGCACTACAAGATTCTATTTAAGTACTCAAACAATCATTTGTTGAGCTTTGCATATTATATGTTTAATTCATTATTTATTTTTATTAGATCTCAATGAATCATTTTTTCTTTCATATTCTTATTAATCCTTATTTGTCTACTTGTCTAGAAAACCTTGGTAATCTTCTTTATTATTGATCTCTCATTGACCCTCACGATTATTTCATTCACACGAATTCTCCTTTTTTTTTTATTATGAAAATAACAAATATTTCTTGTTATAAACTAAAAAAAATCCTTACTTTTTTATAAAAATTTATCAACCATAGTTTTTATACTCTTGGTTTCAAATTACCTAATAAAAAATACGTAAATTTAAGTAACCACAAGGGTGGTGCCTGATTGGTTTGAGCTTGACTCCAAATGTCAAAAGTGTCTCGAGGTCCATGTTCAAATCCAAGAAGGAACAAAAATTTCCTTGTGGTCACGGAGGTTCAAATGCGGTGGGCCCTGTTTTTATGTTCTCCCATGGCCCATAAAATGTCAGGAACAGGCCTGGTAATCAAACATTTATAACATCCTTAATCGTCTAATTTATGTATAAAAAAGTTGAAATGCAAGAAAAGAGTGTTGAGGCTACGAAGGGGTTGGCTAGTTAATTGGTGTCTTCTACTTATAAGGAAAAAAAAGTTTTTTTATAAAAAGTTAGGTGCTTATAATTGGTTCAATACTGAACCGACTTATTATAATCTATTAGAAGGGTACTCGTGCAATACAGCGAGATATATCTTGATTTTAATATTTTATTTTATTCTTTATCTCAGTTGATGTTATAATATGGTCTTATGTGATTTTGAAAAAGTTGATGATATTTTTATTTTTGAATAAAATATAAGTTTGAAGATATCATAAAATTTTGACAAAAATATATCGATATTAGTATCAAATTAACTATTTAAAATTTCTTATTTTTTGTGTAATTTTTTAATTTAATTTAAGTACAATAACAAAATAATTTATATTTGGTTTAATAATATAATTTTTTTATAARGATAATAATTATTTATTTTGTTAGAACTCGATAATTATACTAATTATATTTTAGATTTTTTATATTTTAAAATGAAATGTTTATCCTCTATTTGATTATGTTTATCTGTAATTAGTTATAAGAATTCAAACATCGAGCTTTAATAAGTTGTAGTTTTGCATAATTTACTTGTAATCTTGAATTTTAAGTAATATGCATCTATATACAGTATTTTATGCATAACAAAAATATGTCGATATTCRTATCAAATTAACTATTTAAAATTTCTCATTTTTGTGTAATTTTTTAATTCAATTTTTTTATTATAATTTAATTTAGGTACAATAACAAAGTAATTAATATTTGGTTTAATAACATAATTTTCTTATAAAAATAATAATCAATTATTTTGTTAGAACTCGATAATTATCCTAATTATATTTTAGATTTTTAATATTTTAAAGTAAAATGTTTATCCTCTATTTAATTAAGTTTATCCGTAATTAGTTATACTAATTCAAATATCAAGCTTTAATAAGTTGTATTTTTGCATAATTTACTTGTAATCTTGAATTTTAAGTAAACATTGGTTTTATGTGGTTTTGAGAAAATGATAATGTTTTTATTTTTGAATAAAATATAAATTTAAAAATATTATAAAATTTTGAAAAAAAAATATCGATACCAGTATTAAATTAATCTTTTTAAAAGTTCTTGTGTTTTGGTGTAATTTTCTTGATTAAATTTTTTTAATTATAATTTAATTTAGGTTTAGTAACAAAGAAATTTAATTTAGATTTAATAATATAATTTTTTTTATAAAGATAATAACTAAGTATTCTGTTAGTTATCAATAATTATCCTAATTATATTTTAGATTTTTATATTTAAAACGAGATGTTTATATAATATTTGATTATGTTTATCTGCAGTTAGTTAGACGAATTCAAGTATGGAGCTTTAATAAGTTATACTTATGTACAATTTACTTGTAATCTTAAATTTTAAATAATATGCATCAATAAATAGTATTTCGTGCATAAAAAATCGTTTTTAAAAGCCTTTTTTCAAATGCTTTATAATATAGTAAGTATAGATAATTTAGGTTTAGTAACAAATAAATTTAATTTAAGTTTAATAATATATTTTTTTATAAATATGATAACTAAGATTTCTATTAGTTATTAGGATATATTTAAAATGAGATGTTTATCCAATATTTGATTATGTTTATCTGCAGTTAGTTAGACGAATTCAAGTATGTTGCTTTAATAAGGTGTACTTATGCACAATTTACTTGTAATCTTAAATTTTAAGTAATATRCATCAATAAACAATACTTCGTGCATCAAAAATCGTTTTTAATAGTTTTTATCAAATGCTTTATAAAATTATAGATGTGTACAACTTATGTGAATCATAAACCACCAACATTATTGCATGCATTTTTAACTAGCAGTCGTTTAAATCCAAAAAACTATATTAATGTATATCATGTACAAATGTTTTTATTATATGGACGTCGAGCATTTGCAAATGGAAATTCATGATTACCGTCGCCAAAAGCCAGCAATCCTGCTGCCAACCATCAAAACCTGCATATATATCAAGATACCGAATGCCTTCGATCTTTACCGGCTTTATTCCGGCCTCTTGTAGACGGTAAAAACCCATCGGCATGTAGAAATGGTGTAATTTTCCCAAGCTTTTTCGTTACCGAGCTTATCAATGACTTTTTAGGCAATGGTGGCTTAGCAGCAGTACCAGTAGTCGTGGTTCCGATTGGATCGTTAGCCCTCGGTTTATTAGCAGTCGATCGTTCGATCTCTTTTAATCGTGTTTTCATCTTGAGAAGCTCAAACTTGAGATCTTGGTTTTCTTTTTTTAAGCTCGAGATTTCAATTGATATCGAGTTTTGAGTTCTAGGACTAGGGGTACCGTATGAGTTTGCTTGATCAGAGGAGTCATTATTGATCGGGCTACCGTCCATTTCTCGTAAGCGGCGTTGTTCGTAGTAAAGAACTTGAACTACGGTTTGAACCGGAAGCCGCTCATTTTGGGCTGCGTGAGCACGAGCTTCACGGGATAACTTTTGACAGTCCATCAAACTGCAAACTTTCTTTCGGTCCATGTCACTTAAAGCTGGATGAGCCTGAAAAGATTCAAATGAAAATATTTGATCAAGATGTTATATATTCTAGATGTTCACAACACATAATAACACTACGTAGAAAACTGTTTTAACATTTAGGATTTAGGGTTTCCTTGAGCCGGTTCATTACCTTCGCATCCAATATGTGACAATATCTAAAAGAACCCTTAAAATTAGAAGGAAAGTTCCAACATATATTAAAATAAAAAGGTTTACATTTAGCCAATCTGGGACTCTAACACGCCCCTTCCAATTGAGGTTAGACAGACACAAATAGTCCTACAGAGTCTAGATCCGTGTTTGTTTAGCCTCCAACACACGTTTCCGGGAGCATATGTTAAAATCTCGCATTGGTTAGATTTGGACCATCTTTTCTCAATATGTCAGAACCTCCCTTTCCTTCCACATATTGTCACATTGTCACAATATATATGATACCACCATAAAATGAAAATATTTTATCTATATTTGTTAGCAGCTTAATGAGCACAATGGAACTCACAACATATTCAGACAGATACATGATTGTTTGGTAGTGGCATAATTATATAGAAAGTGACTAATTTATTAAGCTTCTAGGGGGGAGCTTCATGCAAAAAGACAAGTTTTTTCCAAACATGTCCTTCCCTATATGAAAAAACTTTCTCAATCTATATAGACATATTAATCCACACATACAGCTTTATCCATGCATGACTTAATTGAAAATCGACCAAACAACCCCTAAATATGATAAAAAATCATACCTTCAAGTAAATATCAATGGCTCTATACATTCCATCCTCTGTTACTCGTGCTCCTTCCGGAACACATTCGGCAAAACTTATAAACTTTGAAGCCATCAAGTTACGGTCGGAAGCTATCTTAGCAAGAAAGCTCTCCATCAGCTTCCCAACGTTTTCCAAATCACTCTGCGCTGGAGAAACATAATCTGTATCATACGATTCTGCGCAATTGTTTTCAACGTAATTCATCATGATCTGTTGCACTGTATCAACATCAAACATGGTATCACCATCAAAGCAAAAAGAAGGAATCAAGATATCATCTAAAACAGCCTGTGAAAGCTGTAAGCCGATCCTTTTCTCTAAATCTAGCTTGCAAGCCACCGTTGTGTCTAGATATTTGGCCGCTCGAAGTAGCATTGAAAGAAAGCTTATCGAGATGGCATTCTTTTCCCTTGGCAAGAGGCCAACTATTGTTTCTAAAACAACCCTCTTCTCGTGTTCTTGTTGTGGCTCTATCTTTTTCTTGGATTTTCCATAGATTTCCTGTTTGATTGATAGAAAAATGTACAAGATTTGGTGTCAAAAAAGGCATACTTGAAGAACATAAGTTATATAGTAAACAAATGAGGGAAATTTACAGAAATAGACAATCTAGCAAAAGGGGTTTCACCTTTTAGCCATTTTCGGACCTTATTTCACTTTCTAGCCAATTCTTATGCAAAACACACACCCCTTTGGTGAGGATTGAACCCTTGACCTCCTAGGAGGCCAATACTCACATACCGCTAGGCCAAAGGCCCTTTGGTCATATGCCTAATGCTTTTGTGTAAGGATTAGATACAAAGTGAAATGAGGTCTGAAAATGGTAAAAGTTTGAAAAGAGCTGAGGAGATTGACTATTTCTGTAAATTTCCCAAAATGTGCAGGCAACCACAAACTAGTTGCCACTTTTTAGGAAACTTATTTCATTTTTGCAAAAAAAATTTGTAGCGAAAAGAATATATGGAACCCCCATTAGATTACTCTCCAAAAGAGCCCATGAGGAGAGACGGGAATTCCAAGTTTGCCAATTGTTGCGAATGAACTGAAAGTTCATAAGCTAGTGTATACGAGCAAGGGATCTTACCAAACCTCGAAGACATTTTTGCGCGTAAAGCATTAGAACCGGTCCAAGTGCAAATTGTTTGAATCCTCTTGAAACCAATACAAGAAGAACCCTTTTGAAGATATCGATTCTAAGAACAATCAAGTCTTCAGCCCACCAATCAACTACAGATTTTGGGTGAGATAATGATGTGGAAGAATCTAAACCATCCCTGGTGCTATCTGTGCCGCCAAATAACGAAACTTGACTTTCCTCAGTCACCATGAACGCTATAGTATCTATACATCGATCAATCAAATTTACTTTTTCGGATATTGGTAAAAGATTTCCTGATGATTGCAGAATGGAAACTGCACCAGATAAGTTTTTAAGCCCCAATTCATCTAAATAGGCCTCAGTTATCGATACCAGGTTTCCAATTGCGTAGTCCTCTGTCATTTCAAGAAACTCTGCCACACATCTTGCTAAGGCAATGTTTTCTGTAGATAATTCAATACTTGTTTCATAACAGAACTTTGCAGCAATTTCAAATCCTTCAGGCCCTCCTGGGATATCGGGGATTTCGACTACAGAAAGATCAGCATGTTTGGGGTCTGATAACAATTTCTTTATATAACCACACTTGGAGACTAAAGGAAACTGCACACATTGAAGGACTAAGTTTTATGACCCACATTGATATCTTTATTTCTTCTTGCACTATATAAATGGGACCCAGAAAATGAAAATGTCAACTTCTTATCAATGTTTCAACTCTTAATCAAGAACAAGATTTCGTTAGTTTGCTCACCAAGGATTCAAAACCAAGTTGAAATCTTGATTTACAAGCTAGAACCTTATCAGAAACTTTGAGAAAATTATATCAATATATGAGTTATAATAAGAGGATAGAAAAAGTGTACCTTGTGTATAGAAAAGGAAACACCTCTTACAGAAACTGTTACATCACTCTCTATCTCTTGGGAGAAAATCCTGCAAATTTTGTAAACAAGATGAAGAAAGCAAACCTATTTAGCATCAAATAAGAACAAAAAAGTGAATTGGAAACAAGATGAAGAAGATTGAAAGCAAACCATTCACTAATCCTCTTCATGGCGTCAGAGTTTAGCTCTTTTTTAGTAGCAGACATGTTAAGTGTCATGGGCAGCTCAGGTCCTTCTTGATGAACATCCACCATGGCAATGGTTTTGACCTTAATCATGTCCTATACTTCACCACATACATATAGTAGAACCCATAATACCAGTCTATGAGAAATTATGAACATTTTCTTGGGAGGTTTTACAAGGTTTAGTTGAATTTCTGCTCTATAACCTCAAGCTTAGGCTCTGTAAGATACCAACTTCTGATGTTCTTGATTCAAAACGATCCACTTATTTGATGAAATACCCATAATGGGTATCAATATAAGGCCAAAAAAGGAGCAACATGAAGGGACAAAAGAGTTATCAAGAATTTTGCAAGGTTAGGATTGTGGTATTTGGGAGTGTGTGGTGGTGGGTGCAAAGATTGGAACTCGGCAGTTTTCTCAATGAGGCATTTTATCAACCACATAATGCTCATCTTTTAAATAATGAAATAAACACGATCACGATCACATTATTCATCAAATTACATATCAACTTGGAACCAGAATTGTTAGCATCTAAAGTCTGTTGATGTTGATTCTTGGCCTCACCCACATGCCAGTGAAACTTTAGTCCCTTCTTAGGGGTTTATATGGGATGTCACTGTGTTGCCGTAAAAAGTCGTCCTCATTTTTTATTTTATTGGGAATTTTGGTTAATACCATTTTATTAGTTGTTATAGTTTCAGACCAGTTTGTGGGTATTTTAAAGGATAACATTTATTGTTATAAAATCGTGTCTAAAGGGTAATTATATTTTGAATTTTGTATGAAATTCAAACTTCGAAATTTTATTTTGACATTTTTACAGTTAATCGACGTAATTTATACTTTTTGCAAACTTTAGTAACCCTTGTGTATTTATTGCATACCATTTGCAAAACATTTTAAGCAATTTCCTCATAAAAGTGATAAAGCTAGAGTTTTTAGAGGTTGTTTAATTCAGACAGGTGAACGAAAATGAATATGAATATGACAAGATTGGAAATGGTAATGAATTTTCATTCTATTCGGTTTAATTTGGGATGCAAATGGGTAGGGCTCCAATGAGAATGACAAAAAAGGATCACCATCGTTGGATCATAACTAATTAAATATCAATACTAATGTGTTGCACAGAGATGCATCAAATCAATTCACGTGATAAACACAATTCATGGGATGGTCGGATGTGGGTGAGACTAAAAGCAATCAATGTCCAGATCTCTTCTTATGCTTCTTACTTTAATTCCTATTTTCACACGATGAAACTCTCATGATATAGTGTAAAATGAAATATAATTGTTTGGTAATTATTTACAATAAGTCTAGAACGTTGAATGGTTAAGGGAGACCTAGGATACAAAATCATTCAGAAGGATTTTAGAACCATTAAGAGGCAGATTTATTTTTGGTCAAACAATATTGATCTTTTAATGGTTTAGATGTTGCCTCTTAATGGAAATATTAAAAGACAAACAAACAACCCCTTAGTCATAAGCCCATTATATTATCTAAACCCAAAAAACTTTTTATTTTCATTTTCATTAATTACTGCTTAATATCTCTAACCAAACAATCCTTTACTATAAATGTTAATTCTTTATAGAAGATAATTTTATTTTACTATAAATCTTAATACTTTATAAAAGATAATTTTATTTATTTAAAACTGAAATGTATTATGTATGTAACAAAAAATTCATGGGTCAAAATTCGTTTTATTTTATTATTGTGCACTTAAAATTACTTAGCCCAAAAGGCAGTAACCTAAAAACAGCCCAGCCCATTTATGCGGATTTCTTCAAAGTTCAAAGTACCAATACAGTATACAACCGTCGAGCGTGTAGAATACACAGAAGAACACTCGCTAAAAACCTTATCCACCACAAGACCCCGAGGAGACCTCCATTTTCGACCACCGCGTTTCTCCATGTTCGGTATTTAATCTCTCAACAATCTTGATTGCTCACCAACCTAATTCAAAACTCAATCCTTTGGTACCTTTCTCTGCCCATGGAACTTTCTTCTCCATTGAAACCCTTAAATTCAAGCATCTTTCACCGTACCCATGACCTCTCTTTCTCCTCTTCCTTTTCACCATTCCCGATCAAAACCCACTTCGAAAAACTCAAAATCCGCAAACCCATTTCGCTAAATCCCACCATTATCGCCGCCGTGGACTCCCAAGAGAAACGAGAAGAACAACTCCCTAGAAACAGCCCACAAAGACTACTCAAAGAGCTCTCCCAACGCAAGAAATTCGTTTCTCCCAACAAAAGAATACCACCCAAGAGATTCATCCTTAAACCCCCATTAGATGATGCGAAATTAGCTCAAAGATTCCTCAACAGCCCACAATTGTCACTAAAGCAATTCCCTTTACTCAGTTCATGTTTACCATCCATGAGATTGAACAATGCCGATAAAACTTGGATTGATGAGTATTTGCTTGAGGCAAAACAGGCTCTTGGGTACCCTTTGGAACCATCTGAGAATTATGGAGATGATAACCCAGCTAAGCAATTTGATACATTGTTATATTTGGCTTTTGGGCATCCTCATTGTGAGAGGACGAATGCTAGGCACGTGAGGTCAGGGCATTCGAGGTTAGGGTTTTTGGGACAGTATGTTCTTGAATTGGCTTTGGCTGAGTTTTTCTTGCAGAGATATCCGAGAGAGTCTCCGGGCCCAATGAGGGAAAGAGTGTATGCTTTAATTGGGAAGAGATATTTGCCAAAGTGGGTTAAAGCTGCTAGCTTGCATAACTTGATTTTTCAGTATGATGACATGGATAAGCTTATTAGAAAAGAGAGAGAACCACCGGTGAAGTAAGTTCTTCCATTTTGGCCTTCATATATTATGTTTGAAGTTGTTATATTAAATCTATCTTGATGGGCGTTTTGATCTTGTTTTGGAGTTTAAAATTTGGACTTTAGTGCTTTTGAGATGAAGATCACATTTACGCATTTAATCTATAAGTAGGAAATTGTTGCTTAAAAGTTATAATTGTTGACCATATTTGACTCCATCTTAATCTCCATTTAATCTTGTTTTGAACATTGTGAATATATCATTTGGGCATTTAAACTTTAAATGGGAAAAGGTTTCTCTGGGAGTAGATTTGATCCTGTTGGGACTAGCTTAATCTAGTTCTGAATAGCAGTGAAGTTTAAAACATCGACTCCAGTGCTTTTGATATGAAGATTGTATTTGGGTCGCTAATCTTTTAACAGGAAGAGATTGCTTTAGAACTTAGAATTGAATGTTTTATTGTAATGAAATGCAGATTTGAATATTACTTGACTTGAGAATTTTGACTCTAGTGCTCTTGAGATGAAATATGGGTGTTAAGTTTCATCATTAATCGGGGAAGGATGTTTCTAAAAGTTGGAATTTTGATTATATTGAGTCCATCTAGTTACCAATTAATCTTGTTGTGAATATTAGTGGAGTTTCGAGTCTTGAGTCTGGTGCTTTTGAGATGATGATCACGTTTGGCCTTAATCTTCACATCACAAAATGCTGCAGTAACAGCTGAACTCAGATTAAACAACCTTTGTTTCTTTTGTAGTTAGTTTGATGTTTTTTGGGAAATGGTTTTATGGGATTTGTGTGAAAGAGGGAAAAAAGAGATCTTAGTGTCTGTTTTGGTGTTGCACGTGTGTCATATGTATAATAAATTAATAATCGGAATGACTCCTGCATGTTATGCTGCTCGTTTACACCGTTCACCTCTCTTCTTTGTTCCTACTTGCATGGTCCCCATCCCAATTCCGATACATCATGATTGTTGCTAGGATTCTTATTTCGTATTCTATAAAATCAGGATTGCATTGGATCCTTGATAAAAAAAAGGATAAGATAGGAAACAACTGTCATCCTGGGTTTCATAAAACCATTTCTGACAACATTTGTGTTCCATAACAATGGCATTCCTTTGGTGTTCTCTTTTTTCCAACAAAATCCCTGAAACCCAGATCTGAAGCCACAAGATTAACCCAAATATATAGAACCTTGAATTTTCATAAAACATGGGATTACAAGCCATTCATGTTCGGATTTTTGAATAGCCAATGATCAGCAGATGTATAAGATGTAACCAGAGAGTATTGAGTGGACAAGATAATCCGATCGAGGTAATGGTGCTTGTGTGGAAGTTCCATTTAGCCAAGAGACAGACAAACTGCTACAAAAAAGAAATAGGAAAAGATGAAAGGTTGACATAAATACAACTTATTTCCTCAACCAATTCTTGAATAATCATCCGAACTTCCCTTTCGTGTCTTCTTTCTTTGTTCTTGCCTCACAATTCGACAAGTAAAGTTCAATGGTCATTTGAGAAATGAAATTTTCAATTTGGCACAGGTAGGAATAGTGGGTTGATCTTCTTAGTTAGGCCAGTTCCGTTAGTTTTCTTTTTGCATTTGTATTCGCCCTTTATGTTTTGTTTGGTCTCAGATTAACGGATTTACTGTTTAAAAGAATTATGATACAAATGTTGACTTATTGGTATCCAATAACAAAAGGCCCAGAATTGTACATGTCTATTCTAGAAGGACAAGAGGGGTAAATCAGGAAAGT